TCACTCACAAGTAACTGTGAGTTAAATGCGAAAAGACAGCCTGAACTTAGGTATGAAACATGTAAAACAACCCTCTCACTGCGTAATACCGACTCCCAGGAAAGAAAGTTCGTTCAAATCCTTAAGTGATAAGACAACTTCTTTAATCTTTGAAAGTGAGCCCTGTGCGGGTTGCATCATATCTAGTTTCAAAATCAAACTTCTGAACCATATGACTGCCTGACCCAAGCTGAAATACTTTGGAAAGTATCTACAGCTGAGGAGGTTACTATGAATAGCGGGCATAAATCGTTAAACTTCCCGATTCGATCAAACAAAAGTATTAATATCCAAAGAAATTACGGGTGTTTAAACTATCCAAGAAAAGGGAGGATTTCAAAAAATGGCAACTTTCTGTAATTCGGTTTATAGGCTTAAAATTTGATTGCGCCGCTTCAGTGCTGGTCGGGATGCTAAAATTGTGCGTTAGGACTTGGTTTCAGTTGGAACGAAGCACTTGTTCTTTCTCAGTCGTCACTCACTCATCACTTCATTTATCATCCATATGGAGTGGCAATTGAACCCGACGATAATTCACCGTTTTTCGAATACAAAGTTTTGGCTTTTCAGCTTTTATTGTAATGATTTCAAATTTCAGTTGTATCAATGTACACACTCCCTGCACTTCTGATTTTCTTCAGCCCCATGCACCACTTAAGCATCTTTATCATTCCTTCTGACATCGGATATTTTGTTTTACTCATATTCTACTCATTTTCTCAATCTCAGTGGCTCTCCCATCCACATAAACATCTTTTTCGGAGCTTTGTTTCCCTAGTCTTAAATACCATGTACCACTTTCGGAAATCTAACTCCTGGTGGGATTATTGTATTACTCGCAATCTCAGGCACAGGCATCTATGATACTTCAACGGTAACTGTACACATGTTTTTCTTTCCCCTGTCCAAACCTTGACAGTCAGGCAGCAGCCCGGATGACTCAGTTACACATGTATTCAGGTTTTGAGGTATAACAATGCCATAATGAAGCATTAGAACTTGTCCCGAAGCAGTGCTTGACACGAGTGTTAGTAGCCGATTTTATAACAAAAAGTTTGAAATTTCAACTAACGACTAGTTGTTTAATGAGCTCTCAAACCCAAAATCTCTCCAATAGGTCGTCGTTCATTTCGGTTGTTTTTAAACGCCGTTTTTTGTGATTTCTCTCCATCATGTATTCCTGCGCTTTGTGCACCCTGCCGCACTGAACAGGTTGAGAGATCTCAGGTGCCCTCTCGTTCCGACGCTTTCCATTCCATATTTTTCCGTGGAATCCTGATGTAATTCTGCTCATTGAGATTTAGTTGATTGGTTGATTGATTGATTTAATCAGCACGGTCCACCAAACTCTACAGTTAATTAATCCGCTTTAAATTACATCCATGTATGGTATTCCTCATCATTCAATTGAAAGGAGTGCATCCGAAAGCTCTCCCATTCATCTTTAGTTATTCAAATCGTCCCTCCAAACTAGTTTTTCCTTCTAGCCCGATTGTGGCACATTTTTCCTTCATGAGTAAGCATGGCGATCCCTCTAAGTACACAAACAGTCGGAAAATGTCCAATCCTTGGAACGCCAGTTTAGGCAGATTTCCCCGCACACAATTACGCAGGTAACGTATTAATTATAAATTGCATTATATCTGGTTCCATAGAAAATCTTAGAATTTATAGGATAAGCTAAAACAATCGATCGAGTGTCCAGGAGCATTAACGAACAGACCCGTAACAACTTTTTCATCTCCTTTAAACGTTTTTCCAAATATAAACAACTTGAACCACTATTTATTCATTAGTCTTTCAATGTGACAAACTTTTTATATCACAATTTCGAATTTATCCGGCAACAATAAATACAGTATGTTTTATCGTTTGTAAGCCTCCAATGCTCCATGGGTATTGTTATGGCTGCCTACCGACTGCTTGTAAAATCGATTGTGTGAAATCATTCTGTCGGACACTGAACCACTGCATAATGCGCAGAGGGGTGGAAACAGTTTGAGTGAAACAATAATAACCCAATGTGTGAATCGGTCAATTGTAAATCACTTTAATCCTTTCTCCTTGCACAGTTTGATGGAGTTTTCGTATTTTTTTGTAAGCCTCCTTGAAAGAGAATAAAGATTTTGGCCAGAACAATCAAAACTTTGGGATCATATGACGATATCATTCAAGTGAACTGCCAGATTTTAATTCCTCTTATTCTTCAAAAGAAGCCCTCTGAAGTGTAGCAAAACATTTCATGTTAGTAAAATAAAACGTGGTTCCAGATTGCAAATATAATGCCGTTGTCTCTTTCTTGTATTCTATTCTTCAGGTATCAAAAACACATGAAGAATAGAATACAAGAAAGAGACAACATGATTTGCAAGGTCAAGGCCATTATCGCGATTAGTCCATTGTGGCTGAAGTGATTGAAATAACCTCCGGACTTGTCTAAGTTCCTGTTAATGTTCCTCATCGGTCCAGTCCCACACACATCGTTTATGTTATCTATCGGTGAATCGCAGTCATTCACCTTCAGGTCTCCGATGATCGCACACCTCATCATTCGCATCAGTATATCAAGCTTAGTCAAACAATATCCCCGATCCATTTCGCATCACATCAATATACTCATTTGTCGGTCGGGCTGAAAGTCAGAGTTTGTTTGACCGTATGACACTCAACATTTTTACATGTTTGCCAGTCTGAGCTCGCCTCATCAAAAAGACCAAAGATATATTGCGAGAGAAAGAATACACAGGCAGATAGACGCCAAGATATTAATCACGGCCTCGGAGGAAAATAGTTTCCCTAAATCGTTTTTATAGCACTGACATGCTCTTCATCAGATATTTTCAAATGTATCAAACTCGGCGCTGAGAAATGACACTGAAAATCCTTCCACGATTCCTTAAAATGAACTAACCTGGGCTTTTGTAAATACTTGTTATCAAAAATCTGTTGATGAACTAAGGGGGTCAACTGTTCTTCCGTTTGTGAAATACGGGAAAAGAAGCTGGAGAAAAAGTAAATTATTCCTTATGTCCCCTTCATCTCGCCTCCAAAATTCCGGCATCACATGAGTTCCTGATAACAAAATTTTCTCAAACAAGCAATGGGTTAAAAACTATTGCGTATGGAGTTACTTTGAGGGCATCTAAATGGTGACGTGGTCCGCAGAATGGAGTAAGGCGCGAAAATACGGGACAATTATCTGATTTGGGCATCGCAACCTGAACTTAAATTTATTTTACAATATGTGCCTTTGATTTAAGTTCACTCAGTATGAAACTTCCCCCTTGGAATCGGTTATCGGATAACTTCTTCATCACAATAACACTGAAATGTTCAAGGGGACACCCGTATGAAGTTTCTCAAACACAACCTAACCACGCGTACAGTGCGGGGACAATCACTGACCCCCACCCCTCGAAACCTTTGACACGTACGAGCATTACCCTGAAGAATACATGCGTCACATGTGACAGTCGTTACGGAAATTTTTTTAGTGAGATTTGCACCTTCCTTAGGAAGCTGCATTCAATTATATTGGTTACAACCTCGAGACCTTGTTTATAAGTCGAATAAGATTGTCTGAGCATTCTAGGGCTCGTCAACCCTCTTCCGTTAAATTAGAACACCAGAGGTGGAATGAGTTGAGATGGGGGTAGTCTTCGATGCGTCATCGGCTAAAACTCCCTATTTTATGTTCCCTTTTCCGTTTGCGCTCAGTTGCGTGAGGTGATATACCTTCCATTACGCAAAGCAGATGGTTAGTTTTAGACCGCTCACAAACCCAACGCTGCCCAGTTGTCGTCTAGCTGCATGGAAATCTGCTTGTACTACTCATATTCAAAATGTAGATACTCTGTTGTATGAGCTTTACATATTACACGGCTGGCGACCCCAATTACCATAGAAAGCGTGGTTCAGTTTTTGAATTGATCAAACGGATGGTCGGCAGATGTGAGATTTGGTTGACAACTAGTGTGGAGTCAGGCCAGCTAACACAACCTGCTATAAGTTTTTTCCCAGAGAACGAAATTTGAGTTTGCATTAGTTGAGGCTACTAACAAAATGATTCTAACATCTGAGGATACGTGCAATTAACTATCGCCCCTAAAAGTCAAGAAAGTCAGACTAATCAACATAACAAATAGATAAGATTCTTATTTATAAGCACCAGTTTTCATTCATACTTACACCCACGATCTTTCTAGTGATAACTTCACTTAAACAACCCTACAGTTTGCGTGTTTTTCGTAGACTTCGTTTGCACTCTTTCTCTTACTCACCTTATGCTCCACCCCTCACCAAATCTGCATCTGAAATTAACTATTTTCCTTTTGCGCCCGGACATTTATCCAACCTCTTTCAACGTTTATTGATGTTCACAACCTAAGCATGCTCTTTTCCTAAGTGCCGAGTTCATGTATGCGATGAATCCTCTCCCTGATCGCAATACACTGCCCACCGTCGCCAGGCCGTCTCTTCCTCCTTCCTGTTTGTTTATATGGTGTATTCGATTCACTACCTGGCATTATTCACATACGCACTCACGGTAAAATTTATAATAAAACAACTGCATCTTCACAATAAACAAGAACAGCTAAATTTTCGAAATGTTCTCTCTATTTTTCCTCCGTTGTTCCTCCCAAGAATCTCACATTTCTCAAGTTCGTATCAGCAATTTGATGGTCACTTCATACTCCTTCTCTTTCCCTCCTTTATTGTCTTGGAACAATACTTTTCCTACCAAACTTCCTGTCAGTCAAGTCAGTCAACTGTAAGACCACTTGTTCGATCCTCAGTTGTGTTGATAGACTTACATTTCTGCTGCGGAAAATCAACAAGGCTGAGGCTGCTCTACAAAAGTGGATCTTGGCCTTTCGGATCACATGTCCTTTGTTCTGTATGCTGCGAAATTCATCACGAATTGAAATCAAATCTTACTCTAATCATTTTTTTAAACTTACCCATATCTCGTTGTTCAAGTCATTCCAGTCACCGAATTCACGATTATCCTCTTTTTCATTTACAGCATCTGTCGAAATATGAAAAAATTACATAAGGTAATTGTTCAATTGAAGTGAATTCGGTTAAGATATTCTGGAGCGCGGGTGGAAAACTTGGTGACCTAGCAGGATATTTTATGTTCTGTCTTTAACTACTATTCAATTACTGAGTAGACTGTTCTGTTGTGGAATGATGTCCCTGCCGGAAAACAACATTTACAACCAACAAAGGACATGCGGGTGCACCCTCGGCTTTGTCCGGAAATATATATTTTTTCTACCGTAGAACACCTGATTTTCCTAAGGTCAAAGTAGCTAAGCCTATGGAAGAATGAGCTCAAAAGTCTGATCAAAATCCGGTTATCAAATTCCAGCACTGCGGATTATACTGGATTTTAGTAGTAATTAGCTTATTTTAAGACCCACGGTGTAGAGAAAAATCAGGACACATTTCCACCACACCCATTTTTCACACGTTCATATCACGACAGAGGAGCTGGCGCCCCAAACTGATCCGATAGCTTTGTATAAATTGCGTGAAAACCCCTAGTTCAGTTTAAAGTAAAACAAATAAAAATGTTCATGTTTTTTGTTGCTCAAAACGTCATCACTTCAAAATTCAACATAAAGTTGGACCAATCTGAATATTTTTTTTGAAAAATTAAAGGGAGGTTAGTCCTTTCGTAAAAAATTCAATTGTTTGTTAATTTGTTTACCTGTACCTTTAGTCTCAACATATGTTGTTTAGTGGTTCGCCTTTCTAGAGTGTTCTTCACCTGATCCATCTTTTCTTGCTCCATGAAACAAATAGAATGCTTTTTCCGTCAGATAAACAATTCAGTTCAGTTTGTACAAGAATTAACCACGCATATTCGTGCGCCGGTTTTGGTTGCTGTCTTTTGGCTGCCAAACGGAATCAAGAATAGGAGAAGAAAGGAAAGTTAAAAGTGGAGATGCACAGAAAATGGAAAAGTTCAGTGGTCTAAAGTTGCAAAGAAATCCAGAAGATGTACAAACGCCACTCTTTACGACACCCAGCCATATCATTCACTGTCTCTAACCATCGGTTACGATCATCCCGAGGTCCCCAGTCAGGCAGCCAAACAGGACCTATGTGACCCAGTCTCCTGGTTGGGGTTTCATACCCTCGTGCCAGGTCTTAGTTTGACCACCTTTCGCTTTTTTCCAACCACTTCCTGCCCAGGCGAAAATCACTCGCCGTGGCAGTC